CCTTGAGACAGTCATGCTGCCCTGTTCTAAAGGTTGGGGAGCACGAAATATCAACTGTGTTACGGGCTGCAATACTGCATGGCAGAGTCACAATTCTAATCCTATTCCAGTGCTGCATAATTCGGTCGTTGGTCGCAATGTGGCCAGTATCTCGTGCAAAAATCGTAAGTTTGCACAGTTTTTTTTGGTCTTAGTTGCTATTTTTGGGCATAATACATTTCAGAGTAGCTTAAGCCAAAGCAAGAAAGTAGCTTTTTGTGAACAAGTTGAAATAGTGAGTTTAGACTGAATATTGACGGCTAGTAAGCTGGTGACGTGTAATACCCGCTGTAAGACACGATGCCATGACTTTTAATCAAGTATCAGTACAAGGTTACATCGTGGCGAGGGCAACAATAAAATCCATATTCTTGGTATGTTAACCTTCAATATGTGAGCACGCAAGACCAATTGTAATGAGGGTGCGCCTTGAGCTACCGTTAGTTTCGCAGACAACAGTAGCATTCGAAACTTTAGTTTTTAACACTCCACCAATCCTACGGTGAGCAAACAGTTCGTTACACTAGAGATTAAAAGCCCCTGTTAATTTCCTCCTGTTTTCCGATGCCGAAAGTTGCTAACTAATTACCCACTCTTCACATCTTCGGATCTATAAAGGCTTATGAACTCTACCAAACTCAGGATACCCTGACTGAAGAGCAGACGTACTGAAGGTCGCTTGCAAACGCATTGTTCTTGAAATGAGTCATTGGATAGACCACATTGGTAAACGAAATGGGCTCAATATCTAAAAATGGATGTAAAGTTTGAGAAAGTCACGATTAAACGCAACACAGATACATGGTTGAATCGCACTTCTGGATGATCTGCTGATAATGGGACTAATCCATGGACACAGTAGTTGGTAGCTGAATTCGTGGTGACGCATGTAAAAAAAGTGCGAATCTGGTAATGGACTTCGGACTGCTTTCTGTGCCTTCGTCTTGACTATACCATCCATGATAAACAAGATGAACTACGGTGGTGTGGAAGAATGGATGTTTTCAAAGAGATGCTCCAAAACACCGGGGGCATGGTCTGGTAGAAAATCGTCTTGTGTAGACTCCGCTAATGTTTGATGGCGAGTAGTCCATTAAATAAGTTTTACCTGCGATTATCAACGCAGAAGACTCAAGCTTAGTTACATGGGTCTCAAAGCAAATGGGGACAGAGAGGCAATTTTTCTTAAGTCAAACATGCCGCGCTGTATAAATAACCAATTTCTGTCAATGAACAATGAGCTAGCACGAGTAAAATAGCAGTTACTTGACAAGTCCCGCTTAATAACAGTAGTGTCAATTCAGAATTGAATGCAAAGAACAAAACTTTGGAGCAGTTGTAGCTGATGTAGTCTGTGGGAAAATTAAAAAACAACAACAAAGAAGTGACACAAAGGCAACGCATGGACTATCCGGTCTACGTTAAGAACTGCGTCTTCGTGTACTGGGTGTGCTCCTTAGAATACCGAGGGCTTCACAGAGATCTTACATACGGAATACTAACTGAAAGTGCGCATCCATGTACATCACTGTTGACTCTAGCCCCATACAAACAAAACCGAGGCAACCACCTGAAACTAATGACGCAGCTCTCTCGTCTGAATTGTAGAAAGTATTTTTACGCACTTAGAATCTGTTCTCATTGGAATGCATTAACAAGATACGTGATGAACGGACCAGACATGACGACATTCGAAAGACTCTTAGATTTTCATCTTAGTGGTTAGTGCTTCGCAACGGTTTGATAAAGTGCAATGGCTTAGCCACTGGTGCTTCAAGTTCTATGCTGGCACATTTTGATTTTAATTTTCTTTTTAAAAGTTGTGCTTGTAAAGTTATGCTTTTTATCCCATCATGCACTATTGAACTATTGACGCACATGCACTCGTGTACCGCCTCCTTAGGTCGATGTGACCTCTAAACCAGTTGGGAAGGCACGTTTAATATGTTCTCAATTAGCACAGCTTGGTTAACAAAACGACGGAGGCCAAGGACAACATCCAATCGCTTTTTGAAAACATCCAAGACGTGGGAGGAAACAAGTGGGTTTGGCGAGAGTTCCAGGGTTGGTAAACCTGAAGTGGAAACTAATTCCGTCAGTATTCTAGACGGCTGTATTGTTCAAGAAGTTTACCGCTGATGTTAATGTTATGGCTGAGTTTTTTAGCAAGTGATGACGACATACGTGATTAGGGTCATTCGCTACCTAATACACTAATATGAGATCACCGCGCAGCCGTCGGTAGCTTCCGCTGAGAGCTCCCAGTGAGTTCAGCCTTTGCTGGTCGTACGAATTGCGTAGACCCTTGACGTTCTTTGAAGCCAGGCGTTGTGGTGTCTCTACCATCTCAGGATCGAGCTTCAACCGAGGTTGCCTAGCTTAGATGGGGTATTCAACCTGAAGACGCATGTAGAAATTGCACATCTGTGTACTCGCCGGTGATTATTCGCAATTGAGCTACCTCGCTTGAGCGTAAGCGCCGATGGAGTTAACGGGAAGTTTACTAAAAGGATGTGCATCACTTGAGTGCGTTTACTGTTCGAATTAACAGCCTGCTGTACTTCGCTAGCTAAACTGGTTTATACAACATCCTCAACTCCAGATGGAGTTCTAAATCAAAATTCGAGCGAGCAGTTCGCAGACTGCGCATTAGTTAGATAGTCCTATTTGCATTTTTGCTGCGATGCAACAGGCTAACTCTTATTTTGTTATTAAATAAAATACGTTCTATCTCAAAAGCTAATTAAGGTCTTATCAGTTGGAATTTAAGAGCATATGTCCCTCAGATCAGCAGGATCTAATCTAAATGCTGACGAAGACACTTGTTCGTTAAAAAAACGAGAAGCAAATTGCAACTGTCTTCCACCGGATACTTCTATGATAAGGCACTTGTCAGATGGGCGAAAGATGTGGGTGATTCCACGTATACCCGCGAACGAACAATTCCTCACTCTAACACAAGCTCACACACAAACAGACGGTATGCCCGTCTTAACCGGCGTCCCATATGTGCTCAGAATGTAAGGCGAGCACATCCCCATGCGTACCCGCACGATGTTCTCCCAAGTGGAGTCCATGAGATGGCTGAGCACAAGTCAGATAAACCGGATTGTTAAACTATAAATTTCGTAGTAAATATGACCGTATGTTTGACGTACAATTTTTGCGAGTAGATACGTGTTCGTAAAATTATCCAGATGTTTTCCCTCACTTGCTGACTGGAGTCTATTGTCATCCGGCAGATGGCCCGGAGTTCCCCTACCCACATCTTGAGCACCTTTTCGTCCTGGTGTGGAAGCTCAGTTCTACTACAGCGTTAGTTTGGTGGAGGCCAATGTGTCCAATCGCTCTCTTGGTGGCCAACTAAAGAACCACACAAGAAATCAGACGCAAACTGGTGTTACCTGGTAACCGGATGTCAAACGAAGCTCATAAAACAAATGTGGTTCAAATTTAACCCTCCAATTGTCTTGGTGACTCTAAACTCGAACAGAACGATAAATGAACACCCATGTAACTTCACAATTAGACTGTGAGCCACCGTGACCGAGCACCCAGCTCCGATAAGGTTGCACATACACAGGTTACGTACACCTAGAGAGAGAGAGAGAGACAGAGAGCAATTGTTGCTGTTGCGAGCGACAAACGTCTGCATCCAAACCGACTTCGGTTGGTAGTATTCAACAGCTGTGAGTGGTCGACTTGAAACCGAATGAGTGACATTCGATCTGCCCGGACTGACGTACCCGATGTGATGGGGACCAAAGCAGACAATTGTCGTTCTTGTGACCACAAGCACTTCGAATGTGAAATTGATATTAATCCTAGTGACACTCAAATGTCGAACAATGCGCCGTATCGTGTGGACATACTAAAGCTTAAGTAGATAAAATACTGCACGGCGCTGTTTTAATCTTGCTCGCGGTTTCGCTGGGTTCCATGGAACTGTTAAAAGGCAACATTCATCTCATATCTTCTACAAAAGATACATAAACTGTTCCCCACAGATGTGAAAACTATCGAATATGCATTCGGTACATCTGACTCATGTGGTTGTCGGAATCTAACTGTGCATACTAAGATTCCGCTACAGGTTGGCTCACACTTTGCCCTTGTTGTTGCCGTGCCGATCGTTGAGTGAACTTACCATGCGTAATTCGCCGCAGGCCGTTTCGTCATGCTGCGATGATGCACACACACTGTACATACAGAGGTTAGCCTTGTGAGGGGGGAGATAACTTCAATGCCCGTTAAATCTGACGGCCGTGACCGAGGCCAAACTAATTGCATTATAGCCTATCGACCCATCTACTAAGTGAAGATGGCTTAGGAGAACTGACCATGGCAGCTTGTCGGTGAAAAAATGCACAAAGTGTAGGGACAGAGTATCTAGTTGAACTGTAGAGTTTCACTGAACATCTCTGAAGTCCTGCTTCGTTGTGGTAAAAAGTTTGTTTGAAAAAACAAATGCTGTATTAGGCGTCGCTATCAACATACATACAGCGTAGGGCACGCAGTGCATCCAGTAGGATATCTCTACAAGGAACGGCCAGTCGGAATTAGCTCCGTGAGGCATATTGAAGCGATACAATTGCTTAACTGTAAACCTGGAGTCCACATGGTGCACACACAATGTTAACACCAGCTTGGATTGCATTTATGCTTGCTCCCGAACTTAACTTCATAAAATAGCGGGAAAGAATGAAATTCTTAATACTAGTTGCAGTATCAAATTATCTAGTTGTTTTGTAAGCTGATATTTCATTGTGATGTAGAATTACTGTGCACTTGCCAACTATTGGTGCATATTACGCCTGTAAATTATGTCCCTATGCTGACTTTCAACATGAGTTCATTTCACCTGCAGTAAGTCAAACAACCACCGTATGCTTTTTCATTTCAGAGCCCACGCTGATCAAACGAGGGATTCACTGAGGAGTTGCGCACAAGCCCTAAAGCAAATGTTTTCTAACGCAAATTTTTCCGAACATACTTGCTCTTCATCTGAACTTATTGTGAACAGAATCGCCGAGGCTCAGCCAAATGTTTTGGATCCCGTAACCTTCTCGCTTATGTCAAGGTTGTTTCCCGGGTTGCCATCTACCCATAGCTCAGACATTACTTATCGCCGTGAGTTGCGGATTCTCGACACCAACACCACCACACATGAGAACACCTATATTTCAACCATTCAAGAACCCAGTAGTCTCTCTACTAAACTACCACACTTGATACCACAGACAAACTATTTTGGCTTAATCCCTCCGATGGTTTTTAATCCGAACAGATGCACTCTCAGTTTGACCCCAACTACCGTCCAGGAGTTGGGCATTAAGGGATCTGTACATACTGAGCCATCGAACGTAATGAGAAGCCAGCTAAACTTTTGCACTGAGGAAAATACAACTTGTACCACCGAAACAACCGACGATCAAAAGTTGAAGGCGCAACACCTGCTATCAATACATAATGAAGATACTGTGACATCCGGTCGACTCAGTGACTTTCCAGCTGCTGTAAACGAGTACAAATCGGGAAGTTCCATGGATCAGATAGCCAATCTGTTGCAAGTGGCCAATTTTAATTCCACTCCTTTTGATTCCCTGACTTGCGAAAGCCCGGCCAGAAATCGGTCAGCCTATCTGTCAGCAGAAAGTGCTTCGGGTGTAACGAAAATTCCGATAAAGTCAGAGGATGACTTTTGCGAACTGTGTCAGAAGCACTTTTGTAATAAATATTATCTACGCAAACATAAGACCGATGTACATGGTATTCAAACTGGGTCTTATTCAGGTTCTCGTCGGCGTGACACAACGTTTAACTTGCAGCAGAATCTAACAGCTGTAGATGAAAAAAGTGCACTACAAATGGACCAGAGTAATTTACAGAAATCGGATACGAATGGGGATAGCAATGGAGAACAAAAAGGCGCGATTGAATCAGTCACCACAAACCAGTTGCCGTTCTCTCGATCCTCTGAGAAAGCACTGGACACCGTACTGGATGGCATGGGCATGAGATGGAAGGATATTTTTCAACCTTCTAACACTCATTCAAAAGGATGTAGAACAGAGACACACTTTAGCTTACCTGTTCCACAGCCTCTTACATCTGCTCCTGTAGCCACTAGTAAATATTCAGAACCTAATTATCCCAATGGCTTGGACCCCGTATTATCAGCGCATTGCTATTTGATGGCGTTAGCTCAGTCTGTGCCAGTTATGATTGCGGGCACCGATCATCCCACAAGGTCGATTGCGTTGGGAACATCAAAAGACCAAGGTATGAAGTTGGAGCTACCGGCTCTGCCTGTGATGGGCTTAGATGTCAATTCGACAATTAGCGAGGCCAAATGCGATCAATGTCACAAGGTGTTCTGCAGTCCATATTTCCTTCACATTCACAGGATGAGTCAGCATCAGGCGGAGTTGAATGAAAACTGCATTTCTCACTGTTCCACAGAACAGGGGTCGAACACTTCAAAAGAAAATTCAGGTAACGTTAATCATTCCGCCAGCGTACTAGACTCTTTGGAAAATTCCAAGGGTTCATTACAAGACCAAAGCACATTGCAGTTAGGCTCTAGTCACCGTAAAAGTCGAGTCGGACCGGTTGTGGACAAAGGCGGAAAAATAGCTATGGCCCCCTTGGATGCATTTAAGAACAGTATGGTTGCGGCGAAAATGGCCGACCGAGTCACTTGTGAATTGTGCAAGAAAGACTTATGCAATAAGTATTTTCTACGGACCCACAAAATTAGAGTCCATGGTGTTTCCCCGACAGATGTCGGTGGGCCTCCAATGCGGAATCCACCAACTGTTGCTTCAGGAATAAAAAGTTGCACTTCGTTTGGCCCATCAAGCGTGATCGCAGCTTGCAGTGAAGCGGAATCAGGTGTCCCGAGAGAGCATAGGTTTAATTCCACTTTCGACACGTTAATGGACATACCTACGCTGTGCTCGTTGGCACCAGTGGGTCAACTGCTTCCTTATCCATCGGTGTTAGCTGGGATGCAAAACTTACCAGGTGATGAACTTCATGATACAACAAGAGTTCCCACGCAGTCTTCCTTATTTCCGAATTCTTCACTTAGCATGGTTCCCAATCATAATGACCAAAAAACGTGGTTACCGTTGTTCGGGAACTCGGGTCTAGGTTTGCCTGGTTCCGATATCAATGAAATATTCTCGGTTATTGTGAACATATCTTGTCCTATATGTGAGCAAGTAATCGGCCCTCGTCTCTTCCTACCGTCACATTTGAGTGATATACATGGTTTGAATCCGTTGAATCCGGCTTTCTTCCTCAACATGCTCAGAGCAAAAGTTGTTCCGTCGTGTGGATTGGAACACAATCAGGCAGAAATTAAAACCCGGGTTCCAACCTGCGACGCCAAAGTGAGTTCACGACCAGGATCACCAACCATTTTCGAAGAAACGTTATCCAATGAAGACATGTCCATTATAACACAAGAAGAGGAAGGACAGACACTTGACGGCACATCAGGCAATTCGATGATTGACACTAGAAGTGCTCCATTCTCCCACCCACATAACACAGCGGACATGCACGCGGCAGCACGAGTGTGCCATGGAGCGTCGTTGGGGTCTGTTTGTAACACTCCGTCAAAGGAAACCGGTAAGCCGTTTAAGGAATACTTTTTGCTACACACTATCTGCTTGCCTAGACTCCAGTACATAATGAATTCACTCTAACTCATTACACTGAGTACGTAAAGTATGCTCACCCGCTTTGCTGTCCACCAGTCAGATACTGCTTAGTACTCTGACGGGAAGGAGGTCATATCACGTAATCTGGTTGAACAATGTGCAGGCACTTTACAGTACGTGCGGGAATTGTCCCAGACCTGTTTTCGGAACCATAAACGCCAATCCCATTATCCGATGCTCTGCCGTAGACTGCGAACTCCCTTAGAGTGAATGAAATGGTTTCTACCACCTATACGCATGAAGCTCCGTTTAACATGCCGCACTGGCTTCCCGGTCATGTTGGGACATTACACGAGGCGGTAGACAGCATGGGGCCTCTGATACGGCACGTTTAGATAATATGATGTGCCGTAGCACTACTTTGAGTAGGATACAAGTTTCTGAAGCTAGTGTCTTAGGGCGAACATGCAAACGGAGTCATTACCCCTAACTGTCTTAAAGCAAAGGTAATCAGGATGATTGACTGCATCTGCTGTTTTGTCAACAAAGGAAGTGATTCGCTCTAGTTATCTCCTCGACATTCTCACATGGGTTGGATGCGTTCTTTGTACCTTCTAAGGTTGACTCGGTTTACAGTGCAGAATAACGCGATTTTTCCTAACCAAGCCCACTTCTGACACCGTATTGGCGAGTAGACCACACAAACTCAGCACAAGAGCAGGTAAGTTGAACAACTAGCGCATGAGAGTTTCAGAAAGTCCCTTCTATATTCTTTGCTCTATCTCTGCCCAGTGGAGTTTAAGCCTTCATTTTCGTTAAGCCGTCTGTGCCCCACTAATCTGAGCCGAATTAGTAGGAATCTTTATTCGGTCAGTGTTATGTCAGCAACCTAAATGCTCATATCAAGGTTGCATGGCGTCGACAGATTACCTCTGGTGCTGAACTAGAGGTTGCGTGTATGGCCGAAACTCTTGAAAACCAAACTCTAATGAACTTGACTAATTCGGTTCAATATCACTCTTATAATAATAGGGTCTGTCTTCTTCAAGCAATTGGCAATCGATAGTGTTTGCTTTAGTCGATAAATCTGCTCAAATGCGATGCAGGTAACCTATTGTATCTCACCTAGTATATACAAGTAGTAGGGTTTACTTTTGTTAGTACATAGGAAAATGATCATTTATAATTACTGGGACACAAGTTCCTGCTGGCTATATTCCATTGGTTTAACAAAATTTGCTTCAGCTGACCCGAAAGGAGGCCCTTCGATGGGGTGAGGAAAATCACGTCTGGAACGATATTCGAACCGTGCGGTGAAATGCTTGCCAACGCATAATGAGAGTCGGGAATGTTTCAGCCCCACCCCCACACACACACACACGAAAGCACTTTCACTCCCCCTAGCAAATAGTAAGAGAAAAGGGACAGCTTCATTCACTCAACAGGTAACGGACTATTTCCGCGTTTGCACTTGAGATTGCGAATTAAAATTGACCATCTGTGCCCCTAGTATGTTGAGCATTCGACGCGTTGGAGGCTCGGTTGGACCGACTGAAGTGTGTTGCAAGACACGCAACAATTTTGAACCACGCAAGGCGACAAATGAGTTGTTGCCTGCAAGTGTAAAGCATACCAAGAGCGGTCAACCTTCCGAATCCATTAAAGTTTCGCGCCTTTCAAGCGTTACAAATTACTACGAACTAAGCAGGCGTGAAGCGAACTAGCATCGGAGCTTGCGGGTGCATAAACACGTCAGTTCGTACGCTCACGGCTAATATCGTTTGTCTGGTTTCATACCTGCTGCGTGTTGTGAATGGCAGCCCTGAAAGCCGGGGGCAAATTATCTTCACTCACGAAACGACAACTCTCCCATTTTGTCACCAGACACAACACATGCGGTCTCAGGTTAGTCCAGACGCTCAACAAAACGTAGTGACCATAGAAAGCCAAATTATTGCTTTATTTCTCCCTGAACAGATCCCAACACAGAAGGCTTGAAGGCCGAATTTTCTTCCTCTTATCGCCGTGTATGGTATCAATACTAAAATGTGGGTAAAACGTGTTCTCTGTAAGTAGAACTTAGATAACCCAGTAAGCTTCTGACAATAGGCGGTTTGGATAACTCAGATACGTGCCTTACGTACCAAAGCCGATTTCCACATTGTGAAGAGTCGAACGTGACTAATGTAGGGAGGATGCTGACAAAAATGTTCGTGTTACAAGAAAACCATGAATTTCGGGTCGGAGTAATGCTTGCAAACGCTCTGGGGCTGTTACTGTAGAAAAGCGCATAGGACATTCGAACATTATTTTAGACTATGTTCCCCTAACTTTAGCGTTACTTTTACATTGATGCATTAGATCTGTTCGGAGGGTACAGGAAGGATGGTAATTAGTATGTAACCTCTAAACACGACACGCCTCTGCTCGCCAGCACACTGAGTTATTCTACCCTATTTCTACCCACTGAGGTCAGATAGTTTGGCGTCTAACGGATCGTTGGGTGAGCATAGATCATAAAGAATCTTGTGGAAACAAAACTGTCGGCTCTCACCTGACATCTGCTATCACGAAAGACCCGCATGACCGATGCGGATTTCGCGAAACCCGCCCGACTGCTCCGCTTTGCGAAAAGGCAATCAACCCACAAGATATTTTATGATCATTATTTTCGCGCATATTATGACGTGTGCTCACGGGGTCATCCACGCATGAGTTGATCACATTCCCGTTCACATTATGCTCGATACAATTTCTTCACACGCGAGGCTATGCACAGTGTTCGAATATGCATCAAATCCCAGCTCATGCCGAGCCATGGCAACTGGGCTGGATGCGAGACCCACGCCTCCACCCTAGATTGAGGTCATTCGTTAGTTTAACTTGATCACGACAGCGACCTGCGTGCGTCTTCAAAGCTGGACGGAAAGTCAACTCACGGCTGAAGAGTATGATGAAGAGTCTACTCCCGAATTGTATCCTATGATGATCTTTTGTCAGGGACTTACCCGCAAAGGTCAAGGGATTCGATTCCACTGCGCAGAGCGGGCGGGAAATATTTTTCGTCTTAACCGAATTGTTACAACGCCGATAATGAATGAGACTACTTGTTGTACCTTCTGTTGCTCTTTTTCCATAGGGGTGACGGCTGAAGCAATATCCAACTCTACTACGATGGCAGATGCTGAGGAAAACAGGACCAGAGAAACGGTCACAACTCTCGGTCAATCTTGGATTCCAATCGGGGACCCTCTCGGTGCAAATTTATCACACTGCAACACTACTCTTTCAAACACAGCTGCATACAGCCCGGTCTATGCGCGCAACTCCTTCGCATTGACCGCCGGTACATTCCCCCCAATGCTATTCCCTCCGATGGAAACAACAACAGTTGCTGCTCTGAGTGGAAGCCAGTGGACCGCCGCGCAACAGCTCAACGGTGGTGGGTGTACCCTGGGGTTGTCTACGCCTTCCAGTGTGCTACCCAGTTCACAGCCTTCTTCACAAATAATGCTACCCAACACGGGATTGCCAAGAAAGTCACCTAACCAAATGCGTGTACTGTGTGACATATGCAACAAATGGATTTGTAACAAATATTTCCTTCGTACACACAAAGCCAACAAGCATGGAATTACTGATGTGACACATATAACTACGGATACAGGTAGAGATGGTGTACCAAAATCAGGTGCAGTTCTCAGAGGAGCTCAGAATGTGTCTTACTGTCGCAGGTTGGCTACTGTTTCAGAATCATCAGAGACAGCACAAAGGAGTAAGGCGAACTTTGGGTCTGCTCAAAACCCTATAGAGTCGTTGCTACCGAATGGTTACGCATGTAACTACGGAAACACTTCAGAGCTTGATGGCATTCAAGGGAAATCACAAATTACCGCAAAGTCGGTGTTCGAACAGCTTAATCAAGCTTGGAGATGGAACTATGGACAGAACCCAGTTATTTTGACAACACCCTACCCACTGCTCGACCCCCAACTGCCGACATCCTTACTTCCCAGTCTCGACCCATCGTTACCAATGGTTGGTCCAGTACCACCCCAGCTGTTGAGCGCTTTCCCATCTACGGCTTTCCCTCAGTCATCACTTTTAACCTCGCTTCCTGAATTTGTCGATACGCACTCAGAGGATAAAGCCAAGACAACCAAAGGGGCATCGAAAACTAACCAACAGTCAGAGCACAGATCAGATAAGAACAACGCGGCCTCAATTCCCATGGTTCAACACCCAGTGCTAGGTGCGCCAGGTACTTGTGACTGTAAGGTGAGTACCTCCCGTCAAACGACGGGTAGACGGTCTATCTTTGTCTCAAAGATTTACGTCCTTCTGTCATGTATTTTGCCGAATGTAAGATGATCTGGAAACAAGGTAGTTTGGTGATTAAGCGACAGTTGAAGAAAAATACACAACGTGTTCAGCATAAAAGTGGAGATATATGTAGAAAGCTAGATGTATCGCAAAAGAGTAGGTTTGTGCGCAATCCAATGGAGCTCAGATATTTTACCGGGCATAAGTAAATAGTGGGGAGCAGTCCGTTGTGATGATAAATTGTTTATCAGAACACACCTGTGATATTCGACTACCTGCGCCTGAAAACCCAATCATTTTATGGAAACTAACTGCTCGGACTTCTTCATTAGTGTTAAATTTCAAGCTAAACGTGGACAAAAATGAACTACCCCGTTTACATTTCCGAAGTTCAGGTTTCATACATGTTGTACATTTTATGTCTTCCCCACAGTTGCCGTTGAACTTATCGCTAAAGAGTTCCACAAAGTCAAGCGCAACTTGGAACTGCAATAATTTAAAGTTATCCCGAGTCTGGCGTCGCTATCGCGTCCAACGAGGGATGCAGTTTGCTCTACGGTACGCTACTGAACGTGCTCTGAAACGCGCTCGCCGTACGCGTAGGCTCCAGAAAACCCCTACTCTGAATTCAAATCCATTCAGACACAAACACGACGGAAGAGAAACTGGTAAGGTAAGTGTCGGTTAATTATTGATAGAGTTGGTTAATTTTAAATTTAGTTAGCAACATAGGTCGACCATTGGATGTATAACAACTGACGGAGTGTTTGGTCTGCGAGGCTGGGTGAGGGGAGTTGCGCCTTGAGTACATTCAGGTCATTGAGTAAAGTTCCCAGTGATTTTCCTCCGATAAATATGCGGTCGTCCTGCGTTTGCAATCTTAGTGTAAGATTTAATCTGCGTGCCCCTGGGTCAGGAATTGCGCACCAAAGTCTTTATGTCGAACAAGTAGAAAATCCGAGCAAATGAGACAAGCGGTTCTTTTCTCCGGAACTAAATGGTGTGATAATCAGGAGGTTGTGGCTTCCACAAGGAATATTTACCATTCAACTACCTGAAACAAACCAGTCGGCTATTACCATGATCTGATTTTCCAGATATGAGGCGCGCAAAGCTTTTATGGACCGTTACTGGAAACGTATTTCTGAATGTACTTGAGTTTACGCCCGACCTTTTCATACAACTGGAAACAGTTTCTCAAAATATCGCTACTCTCTGACCTTTAGGCCGTATGGCAGTCAATACAGATGTCGTGAATGATCAGTCGTCCTTTTGCATCTCGGTGAAATTTGTCTTACCGACCATACTTTTTTCGGTTCGTCGGTGGACTCTTACGTGCAAAAACAACTGGTTAATCAGTAAACTTAGCTTCAAATAGCAAGTTAGTGTTATCACAGTGCCTGTGCTCCATAGTTCAGAGCGTTGTGAGAAATACACTCCAGAGAACTTGATGTGCATCCGATTTAAGGGCTTGCATAGTCGCAACTACACACTGGGGACACTTCTTGTGAAAACCGGGGGGAGGTGGAGGTGTCACAGCACCGGAAAATGAACTCTTGCATACTCATAGTTATGTGGGTGGCTTACATGTGCACAAGAGTGATTCAACGAACTTGTCTGCTTGCCCGTAAGTGTGTGTGTGTGTGTGTGTGTTAAATCGTTTGTGTTTTAGCTGTTCGCGCTTTCGCCTTCGTGCACTCTCTCAAACGTTCACAACTGTTGTGCGCAACGTTAAGGTTGAATCCATGCGTTCAATTTGAATGCATTAGTTTGTTCACTGGCCCTTGTGCTACATGTTACCATGGTCTCGAATTGTTGGTGATCACACTGCTCCGGGATAAACAAGGCAGTCCACGCGCCTTGACAACAGTTTGAAAGCGAAGAAGGCTTGTGCCTGCGAGTATTAGGAGACCAATGTGGCAAATATAGGGCAGTTTATTATTAGGCATAGTGTGGTGGATTGGACATTTTATTCACCAGAGTGCTTGAAAGAATGGAGTAAAGAAGCCTATCTATAATCGATTGTCTTTTCATCTTTTGATCCGCCAGATCTTTTCCGTCAGATGAAGGCCAACATTTCTCGATCCTTTTTAAAATAAAACTTGAAAGCGCCTTCAACAAAAATTATTGACTTACCTGTCGAAATATATTTTCAAGACTTCATCAGGTATTTAAGTTCATGCATCAATGTCTCAACGACATCTGAATTCCGGCAGTATCGTCAGCTTTTCGGAGTCATTTCGGAAATACAGCAGGTGTCTTTAGTAACAAAACACAAACGGTGCGCTTTTCCTACATCCGACTCTACAACAATGGTACGGATTGAATTTGAGGGGAAAATTAACAACGTCAACAATAAGACTCCAACGATGGCTACTAATCATGGTGAAAGAGTCGAGTCTAAGTGAGACTATCATGATAATTCTGAGTGAGACTGGACCTTACCGTCATGCGAAAGTTTATGTGCTTCAGTGATCCATTGATCTATACTGGGTGGTGCATTTTTGCACCTTCAGAGCCACTCATACCAGATTGGTCAATGGATAGAGGCCAGACAAACTCAGCCTCCTGGTCCTCCAGGTTGGGGGTTGGAATGAGGGTGGCTCCTTTTTCCTTAAAACGGACTCCTTGTAGCCCAATGCCAAACCCGCTGCCTTGCGGTCAGGTTTTTAAACCAAAGGCTTTGGTTGAGAACCCTAATCGTTCTCCTGTCTAGGCCTGGACAACCTGACAGTATCCTGTCCAAGCAATACTATGAAACTTCAAACAAATTTCTGATGCTCTGGCCACCGCAGAGGATAATCAACGGTGCCCTATCTGAATCGAGCAGGGTGGATAGGGGTTTGGATGCCACTGCTCAAGCCTTCCCGTCCTCTTATTCCCCCTCTTACGTATTTTTCACCCTTATCGTCCCGTTCCAGCTTCACTTTTATCCCCCCTGTTTTCAAGCCCCTCAATTCTCGGCCCTCCCCCACTTTGCTTCAATAGTCACTTGTCTTTTAGTCTCAACTCACGGCTGAACGCGGAGGGTCATTCCTGCCCTGTCAACGGGCCCATGTCCAAGCTAGCGGCTAAGACCAGCTCGTCGGCTTCCACTTGGAGCCCTCGATCCTCCTTCAGATTGGTATGCCTCAATGTTCGCACATTGCTTCAGATCGGTCAACAGGCCGCACGTGCCCGAATATTAGAGACCCACTCGATCGACATCCGTTGCTTATCGGAGACTCGCCTACAAGACTCGAGCTCTGTGCTCACACTGCGATCCCCTTCACGTGACACTAGCAGCACTTTCTCATTGCGCCTATCCGGTGACGATGCAGCTTCCAGCACCGGCCAAGCCGGTGTTGGTATCGCGCTGAGTCCCCAGGCTGAAGCTACTCTGGTTGATTGGATTCCAATCAGTAGCCGGATGTGTGCTGTCCGATTGGCTGGCTCGTTCAAAACTTCGAAGTCGCGTGTGACTACCATGTGTCTATTCGTTATCGCATCCTATGCACCGACAAACTCTAGCGACGACTCGGTAGGAGACGACTTCTATCGTCAACTGAACGAGCACCTTCGCCACAGAAGAAGCTCGGACACTGTAGTACTGGCCGGGGAGCTGAACGCTCAATTTGGAAAGTTATCCACTGAAGAGCTGCAGCTGGGCGGCCAATATTGTGTAGGCTCTCGTAATGATAACGGTGAGCGGTTACTTCATTTGTGTGAGGATGCTCGCTTATTTCTTGCGAACACTAATTTCCGACACAGCAAACTCCAGAGGGTTACTTGGTACCCACCCGCCCCGAACCAGCTACGGACGCAAATCGATCACATTGCGATAAGTTACCGATGGAGAGGCTGCGTCCAGAACTTTCGCTCGATTTGGAGCTCAGGTGTGGACACCAACCATGCACTTGTATGTTCTGATCTGCAGATGCGTTTTGGCGGACGCCCACGACTACGTTGTGAGCGCATTGACACCAGCCAACTGGCGAAGCCAGCTGTTCTGAATGCCTATCAAAGTGCGCTGTCATGCGAGTTAGATAAACGCTCACTGGATGCACTTGCAGCTCACTGGTCTCATATTCACCAGAATTTACTAGCAGCAGGAAAATCCTCATGTGGTATGTCTAATCGGCAACATGGACATTGGGTCTCTTTACAATCTCTGGAACTTATAGATGCTCTCCGGCATATTCCAGTAGGAAGCGAGCACAATGAAACTCGCAATGAGCTCCGGGCAAAACTCCGTGCTAGCCTGAAGAGAGACCGCGAATCCTGGTGGTCTTATCGTGCAACAGAGATGGAAATGGCCGCTGCGCTTGGTAACCATCGCAAGTTATTCCGGCTGATACGGGAAAAGAGCAGTAGGAGACATGGCGTTAGTGAAACAATTGGTGACGAGAGTGGACAGTCTATACGCAACTTATCAAAATGCTTGGAGAGTTGGGCTGAGCACTTTACAAGATAATTTAATCGGCCGGAATTGTTCGATTCTTCTCCAGCCACTGATAGCCCCGCCCCGTGGGCTGTCCCTTTGGATCCACCCTATTACTCAGAAGTGGAACGTGAGACCGGATTGTTGAAGTTAAATAAAGCCGCGGGACCAGATGATCTTCCTCCAGCCCTCTTCAAATTAGGGCGACCTGCTTTTGTGGACGATTTACACGAGTTGCTAGTCAAAATTTGGGAGCAGGAAACTGTCCCAACCGACTGCAGCCGTTCCGTCATAGTCTCTGTTTTCAATGGAGGCTCACGATCGGAATGCGGCAGCCATAGAGGAATCAGTCTGATCTCCATCGCCTCCAAATTCCTTGCTTCTGTCATCCTTCACCGACCGACTAGCACTCGTGAAAGCCAGATTCGTGAAGAGCAAGCCGGATTTCGTCGAGGTCATAGCTGCATTGACCACATCTTCACCTTGCGTCAGTAGTTGCAGCGCCGTCACATATATTCGCGGCCCACCGTTGTCGTGCTCCTCGATATCAAAGGTGCATTTGATTCGGTAGATAGACGTGCGCTTTGGGACTGTCTACTCAGGAATGGTGTGCCTCAGAACTATGTAAAATTTATCCGAGCATTATATGCGCGTAGCTCAGACAGAGTGAGTTCAAGCTGTCGTCGCCCTGTACTATCTCTAGCGGTGTGAGACAAGGATGCCCGCTGTCACCTTTCCTCTTCAACTGCGCTGTCGGCGAACTCATGGAAATCGCGTTCACAGGACATGACTTAGAAGGTGTGGATTTGCTCCCAGAAGAACGACTTCTTGACTTAGAGTATGCTGAGGATATTGCCTTAATCTGTGACAGCTCCCAGACGTGCCAAGTGGCACTGGACAGATTAGCACTGGCTGTCCGTCACTTTGGGCTTTGCTTCGCACCCTCGAGGTACAAAGCGTTTCTCCAAGATTGGTCTGGACCGCCCCCTACGCTGACCCTTGGTGGGGATCAGCTAGAAGTCGTTCAAAAATTCAACTACCTAAGAAGTTTTATCAGCGCCCGTGGGATTGAAGATGAGATCACGAGCCGAATAGCAAAATCTCGGGGCACTTTTGCTAAACTTTTCCACTTATTGCGCCGAAGCGACATCACTCTTGCCCTGAAGGGTAGAGTGTACAATGCAGCGGTACGTTCAACCCTACTGTACGGTTGTGAAACCTGGCCCCTTTAAGCAGCGGACCTGAAGAGGCTGGTTACGTTCGACCACCGGTGCCTTCGCAAGTTAGCTCACATCTGGTGGGAACACCGAGTTAGCAACGAGCGTGTTCCACGCCTTGTTTACGACACAGGAAAAGGAACTGAACCTCTCAGCACCGTTATTTCACGCACCAGGCTCCGATGGCTCAGCCACGTGTTACGCATGCCAGCCCACCGACTCCCGCGACGTGCGTTGTTTGCGCACCGGGGTGTGGATGGAAGAAGAGGAGGGGTGGCCAGGCGATGACTTGGTCCAGAGGAATGAAAGCCCTCACTTCGGAGCTGGCCTCGGTTGGAGCGTCTCGGCTCCCTGGTTGGGGTCCTAAAGACGATGAACACGTTTGGTTGGACACACTTGCTGATATGGCTAGGAACCGACCTCAGTGGCGTTCGTGCTGTGAGTTTCTTTGTCCCACCCCATGCCTCTTAGCCTTCCCCTCCAACCACGATCTCCTTATTTAGCCTTATATAATTTTGCATAGTAATTTTTTTAGATGCACATTAGCCGGCTGGTAGCTTAGCGGGACGATGCCCATGCGTTACCGGCAGCTCAGCCAGTTGCATTTTCCCCTCCTTTTTCCTATGTATTGCGGCACAGTAGTTGAGGTGTTCCCCACCTCTAGCTAACGTGTATGATATATATATATATATATATATATATATATATATATTCTGAGTGTGTTCTACACCTAAGACATTAGGGGTGTTCAAAGAGAAACCAAACGTCATTATAATATTTTTATTATTTATTGCACAACATTTTAAGCACTTCCCCCGCAAAGTACTCCCCCTACTGGCAATACACCGTTGTCTCCTGGAACGCACTTTCTGGAATGACGCGTAGGTCTCTTGTCGCATTGTGCTGAATCTCCTCTGTGGTTTGTAAAAGACGTACATTCGGCGTGGTTTTAAGTTTTATAAACAGGAAAATGTCCTCAGGGGCTAGGTCCGGAGAATACGTTGGATGGTACACAACTGGAGCGTGATGTGCACAATGAGGGATGCGTGAGCCGGCGTATTGTCATGAGACAAGATCCAAGTCTGGTTTTCGCACACCTCAGGCCTCTTCATGCATACTGCATACCTAAATCGTGATAGTATGTGTTGGAATGATCCTGCGCTGGCGCCCACTTCGTCAGCTAGTTCTCGAACTGTTAAACGATGATTTCCACGGACCACAGCACGAACTCTGTCGACATGGGCATCGTCTGTTGATGTGAAGTTCGTCCAGGCTTGGGATCGTCACCCACCGACTTTGTGCCGAATTCAAAAGACTTAGGCCACATATATCACTGCGTGTGTCTCAGTCAATCTTCCCCGTATGCTTGGCCAAGCAATTGAAATGTCTCTGTAAAAGTTTTGCTAGGTTTGTAGAAAAAGTGCACACACATGTGTTGTTCTTCAAGCTCTTTCATTGTCGCTTTGGCACTAAGCCGACGAACAGCTCGTGCAAGTGCACGTGCTTACTTCAGCTCCCCAACCAAGTCAGTGCGAAATGCGGCAAATGACACTTTGTTGTTTAAGCAAGCCTCCACTTGCGCTCAATAGACGCAGCGCGCTCCCTCTTCCTGTTGCCTCGCTATAACAAAAGTTCGGTTTCTTTTTGAACACCCCTCGTAGGTACGCTGAACTTTTTGCATCGAAAAGTGGCTGCATATCAGTGGTGCACGAATCTGCAGGAACTGCTTTAACACACACAAGTCAGTTGGTCAGAGCGAAGTTAACATCCCACTTACGGCCCGTGGTATAGAGATTGTCAGCAGTATTAGATAACTGCTATTGTGTAACAAACAACTGCGCACCCGCGATTGGAGCTGTGCCCAGGCACCTCAAGGTGCTTACCTCTCAAATTACATGCGTACAAAACTGTTGCTTTTCTCTAACGAACGAAGAATGTTCATTTGTTTTGCTGGTATGTGTTTGTGTTCCCTCGATGGAATGGATTTCCTGACAGCTGATTTTAGTTTGTACATCTTAGATGGAACCAGAGTGATGCGGCTTCAGAGTTCGGTTCTCAAAATATCGGCTTTATTCATTTCATTCAGCAAAGATGTATGGATGGCGTTCGAGAGCGGATTTGTGATATTGGCCTGTAACCGCAGAAAACATATTGCTGTCGGTTGCATTAAAATGATGCTTGACTCATCTGCGTGAACACAGATAACTTCACATGAATAGCCAACATTAAACCACATGTACTGAGCGACTGTGCTCGGTGTGGGAATTGTGCTGCTTTACTGCGTACAACCTCCTCTGTAATACTTTTGTATTATTTACGACCATCAGGCCAAACTGACTAAACATTTCACGGCCCTACTGAGCAGGATGCTTTGATGCGATTTCTTTTGGAGCGGGCGGGGAACCGTGCTATGGTATTAGTTAAACTGCTTATAACTGGGTGTAAATACTTGATCCTAAAGTAAATCGTGCAGACTGAAAAATTTCTTCTGATTATCCTCTTTGGTTGCTTTAATGATGTTTTACTACCTTAAACTCCTCATGCCTAGAAATGGGCTGGTGTTGACTTTATCAATTTGAACACACGATATCTTTTTCAGTCCATTGCCTTGAATTTGCAAGTGAGCAACGGTTCTCGCGTCGCACCATCAAAAGTAAAGTGTGCTTACAATATGGCAAGAAAAAAACTGAACATGCGGCACTCTCAGCCTTCTCAGTCTATGCAGCCTCAGCATTCAGAAGCATCCACAGAGCAGTCAGTCGTCGTCCACACGGAAACCAATCACTCCCAACATAGTATGTTTGCAGGAAACGCGAGTAAAACCTTCGCCTGTCCTTTATGCTCAACGGTACCCACATGCGACTTCGGAACGTTGAACCTATTGCTCCAACATCTTTCCTTAGTGCATGGTGGTTGTGCATCCTCTTTTTCCGACCACATCGAAGGGTTGCAAGAAACAACGATGGAACAATGCAATTTCATTGGGACAATACAAACACAAACCCCATCATTCCAAGTAAGCCAGCTGGCCAATAGTCCCTTACAGGATGGCATAGTGACCAGAAATGCTCTGACTCCGACTGTTACAGCAAGTGACAATCGAGTCAGTAGCACAGTGGCCAATGTAACGAGCTCAAGTTTTGCCACATCAGTAATCATTTCAGAATCCGGCGACTACCGCCTTCGTGATATCCCAGTTCCTGAGTTACTTCATCATACAATGTTCGTTCCCACCAAATCCTACACCGAAACATTATCTAGTATGTGAGAAATTCCCCACGTACAACGTTATGTGCAAAAGGAAACTGCTGTCCATTATTCTCATGTTGAGCAGATTGTGTTCGGGGACATCTGGCTGAAACAATGGATTTAATAGCATGTGCTTGTGACACTCCGTTGTCACACATGCACGCATGTACATACAATGTTTCAGACGCTGCAGGTTCAATCACTATGTGAAAAACTGATGAGAGTTCATTTAACCTTTACCATACTTGCCTTTTCTGGAGTCATTTTAGTTACCAGGACTGTACGATAATCTATAATTGAACAGTGACAAACACGAATGTTGATTAATCAGACCGTTTTTCGGAGTGTTGAACCGGTAGACGTATGCGCGTCACTGTCCCACTGATTTCCTGTTGAAGGGTCTAACTTTGGTCCTTTATCGCATGGACAAGAATAACCGCTGATTACTAACGCAACTTCAGAATGAACTTCACATCACGGCAGCCAATTTTCAGTCCAAGAATAGTTACACCCAATTCGCAACTGAATTCAGACATAGTGCTTTACTCGAATAAGGTGATGTGACGACGTGCCTGAGGGACCTTATTTTCCCAAGGCAATGAACTAGCTTTAGCGAAGAGTAAGTTGCATAAGTGGGGCAGCTTACTGTTTGGTCTCCATTTAAGAAATTGTCTACCGCAGGGACCACAAGGTAATATTTAGTCAGCCAAGAAGAATTTAGTATTGGCTAGACTTGTGAATCGTGTTACCTATAACGCTTTTACTTCGCTTAACATGTTATCTTAACCAATCCAGATGCGTTGCTTGGCGACGACGGACCTTGCTGGACAATTGAGAACAGAAGTGCGACTCGCATCACTATCGATTTTGCGGCGCTAATATCGGGGCGAGCACAGGCTACTTTCTTTACACATTTCCGATGACGGTTTCGATTATCTTTTTATCTACCATGGCCAGTGTTTGCATTCTTTTAATGTATTCAAACTGTGCCGCCTGATATGACATTCTCATGTCAAGCTGCTGCGTGAGTAGATATGCAATGAGTCCAAGCGATTTCAAGCACGTGCCCTAAGCAAATTCCAACTGTGCGCTCCCGATTAGCGCATTCACTTTGGATTGAAGCTTGAGAAAAAGGGAAAACTGACGGAACACTACGGTTACCGAATACTGTGTCTTTAGTTTCTACTGGCATCGTATAGCACAGCCTTTTTGAGGCCTGGTACGAGATAAAGGGATGTGAGCGGATACTGCTAGGTCCAACACAGTGACTAGCCCGAAAGCGTCACCATGTACACATATTTGCCCAGGAGTTTCTGGTATCATTCGATCACAGTTTCGCCACATACCCTGAGCGAAGTCCATATAGGAACCTGTTGTTAGATGGGTCAGGCGAATTCCATCTTATCTGCGAAGGAGGTGTGAATATGGATTTCATAGAACAGAAAATCCAGAGTCATATTCCCATATTTCCTTGCCTAACCTTATAATCAGTCCACAGTATTTTGTGCCAGATAGTTACCGTTAACGGAACAAGCTAGGATTCTTCTGAAGATGGTCCTTTGCACATCGTAACAGAAATTTGTTTGTATGCACATTGTTACAAATGCGAGAAAGCCGTTTTCGGGCGCAATTGCCTGAGGTGCTGGCTGCAGTCGCAACTGAAACTGGGAGAGATGTTGGAAATTTGCTTCCTTTAAATCATAGTGAAATCGAGTTGAATTCCCATGACGCACCAAGCACGAAACTTATTTTGTTAATTGTCGCTAATGAAATCGTAGTTTGCATTTATGATGAACACCTGCGTAGTGACGGAAGCTAATAAAAGCAAAAAGTGCCACTGTGTTTACAAGTGCCCATTAATAACATTTTTGACTGAACTGCGTCATTGGTAATGTTAAGAAAAAGCCTTTTAACTTACAGTCTTTTGCTTAGCGTGGCTTGATGATTCACTTACCGTAATTGACCTGGCTACTAGGTTTATCCTGGTATCGATAGATGGCTGCTTCTCATATGGCGAAACATTGCCTACATCTCACATTTAAATCATAGGTAGGAAGAGAGGGGAAATTACAGCAGTTTTCAATAAGTTATCCTTGCCCATGATCGCATGATCGAGCTACATGCTTGGGGTTGTTGTGGGGGAATCCCAAATAACTTATGCCTGTCATCATGGAGACAAAGAGTACGCTGAATCGATGGTGGTTTCAAGGCTCGTACACAGTTCCGTCTATCGATACATGCTTCATTGTCCGATTGTCATATATTAAACCAAGACATACTCTAGGTTCGCACAACTCGCCCAACCCGCTAGCCATGGTGACCTGTTTTTATGTGAGGAAGAAATCCCGTAGTATGTGAGCCGGTGAAGGGTAACTAATTTTTGTTCAAATAGCACACCTATGGATTAGGCAAAAGGTCAGGAATACTGATGTTTGTATTGTATTTGTTGATGCTGATTGCGAACTTTCCATTCTCATCAGAGTCACAAAGGATCGGACAGGTTCTTGTGGTGCATCAAAAAGAGCAGTTGGCAACAATATCCCATTCACACTTCGGTTGCTGCCAAATGGCTGCCATACTTGGAAAGTAGCTGATTACTTTGAAACCTTTACTTAGCCGAATCAATCAACTTTCGTGTAACATTAAATTTGAAATTGCCAGGCTAGTTAAGTCACACAAATTTTCCTAGGATTTTGAAAATTGAACTGCCACTGTGTTACCGTGGTTCATTCCGATTTCCTCGCACGGAAATCGGTTTAACTGTCCACACCCGCATACAAGAAGGCAACCGCTCACTTGCTTCCAGGTTTCATAAAATCCACCCGTATATGATTCTTCTGAGCTCGCAGGTGGGGCACCGATTCGCTGTGACCACAGTCAACCAGGCCGTGATCAACTTCAACTTTTAGTGTTTTCAATCCCACCTTTCGCATACCAATGGCTTGCGTTTCTACACCATGGATACAAGGGATTGCGTTTTAACGCTAGCGCTGCGGCCCGGTCGTAAACATGACGGTTGACGCTGGTGACACTGCTACTTGGTCCGCGGTTATTGAACCAATAAAAATCCCAGCTTTTCATACCTGTAAATTACCCGCGGCTCATCAAAGAAAGTAAAGTTTTGGACAGGGAGGGGAGTTACACAAAATACGTGTGGTAGGAGAAGCAGAGTGAATGAGGGGAAACAGCGAACAACTGTTGAACCGTTTGCGTGTTCTTTGTCACTAAGTGGAAGCCTCACCGCGGACCTATTGAGATTTGTAGGCAAATCGTCGGCGCGGCTCGGATTTGTGGTGCCATGAAGCAGCGGGGCCGTAACCAGCCTGTTGTTAAGCCATATGTCCAGTAAAACTATCACTAGCGCATGCATCTTTGAAATAATAAGCACGGTTTGGAGTTACTAGTAATTTGACCGAAAGAAGCATGTTTGAAACAATGTACATACGACACATCGAACGCCGTTTCGCATGGGTCCATTTGGCATAATCGGAGGGGTCTCAGCGGACAGAACGAAGATTTGTCCTTCTGACATAATTGGCGGTCTTTTATTTGGTTAACTTACTAAACCTTTTATCTTTGATCAAAAGAGCACGGTCTATCCAGGTCTGATAGAAGAGATTTGTTGTTGTGGTTAGTTATTAAGGTAACATTTTGATCCGTTTTGATCCATCGAAGGGACACAGCGAAAACAAAGGGGCAGGCGATGTTTGCACTTTTATCAGTCTTAGGTCAGAGTCAAAAACCCTTTCAACTGCACCGTCAGTGCGTTGGTACCAAAGAAAGTGGGAAACATTGCGCGGAATTACTGTTGTGCCATCTCGCAAGCACTAAGAACACGTACCGTAAATTACCATGTATAAGCCAATCCGTGCCCCATACTGAGGATGAGGTTGCATTCATGATGCTTATTCATCACAGTCGGGCTAAAAAACTTACAACTTAAGCTAGGTTTTTTAGGCTGGATAAATTTCATCCAACTTTAATTGGTTTGTTCTGCCTAGCTGCATAATCTTCTATTAACTTACTCCCGTTGCTAACGCTAATTGCGTTTCTCTTCGTCAACTTTATTACGTTTGTAGCATATTTCGAGTAACTTGTGGACAGTTCGTACTTGTCACTTATTCGTTGATAACCAACTTACTTCATATGCTAATTTAGCGAAGAGTTATGTTTGCATAGTAGAATGCTTTAACATATATACTTTTTTGATAATGTTATTTCAAGTGATTGGTTGTTGTTCGATATCCCCGGTGTGGCTGCGCTTGATGTGCATGTTGACAAGGTACTTACCTGTCTATTACGCACTACCTCGTCCATACTGGCTCCAGGAGACAGTTGGTCGTTGCTGGAGGGGACGGGGTGCATGGTCCTTGTGGTCGTGTTAGGCTCGAAGAGTGGTTCTAAGCACTCAGTGTGGAGCGGACCACTTTCCAACCACCGCATTGTGTTCGGTTGCTTCCCCAAATATAGCATGCTTGTGTCTGCCTGTGAATTAATGTGGGCGGGCTCCATTGATGAAACGTGGCTCACATCCACATGCCTCCCGGTCTTATTCCTTCGAATTTACGCTGGATATGGGGTGTGTGGTTGGATTTGTGGGTGATGCAGCGCAAGCCACCCATGGTCCCTCTGTAAGCGCAGGCGTCCTGTGGCTGTCCATTAGGAGGCCGCAGTGACAGGAAAATCCGAAACCGGTTGTCGCCAATCATAGGCTGATCCGTATATAAACCGACAGTATGACTTTGCAACGTCAAATTTGTCCAAACTCGTAAATCTGTATATTAGCCGCCCCCCGCCAAACAGCAAAAAGAGAAACGAAGTTGCCTCTCACGATTTTGACTTTATCACTGCCTGCTCTCACTTGAGTCTGCTCAAGCGAAAGCTGCACTATTATCGGTCGGTTCTGGCGACCTAATGTGTTATGATCGCAGTTAATGGAGTTTAGAGCCGTCAGGAAAAAGGTTTTAACCACACTAAACAGTGTATTGATTAGATGTTAAGTCCCACAAAACAGGTAAGACAGCCGACAGTATGGGGTAAGGTGAAGTGGTATGTCAGACACCGCCTAGCATAGTCGGGGGCCTCATGCATCTGATTTGAAGTGGAGCAGCGGGTGAGAGGGACTTTCGCGATCAGTAGTGTGGGGCGGTGTTGTACTTTTAATGCATTCCAAACTGAGAACCTGAAGAAACGATGCCGTACACTGAAGTCCTCCGTAGCTGCGGTTCTGGAACTGGTAGCAGTTCGAGTAGTCGACGTAGAGTGAAGATTTGGGCAGAGCCTGCACTGACC